GGGAGGGACGGGGGAAAATGAGCTGATGCCAGGGGCTTAAGTGGAGAGCAAATGTTTTGAGAATGATGACAGCAACGAATGTATCAATGTGCTTTATACAATTGATGTATGTATGGATTGTAATAAGAGTTGTATGAGCCCCCAATAAAATGATTTTAAAAATAAATAAATAAAATAGGAGGGAAAAAAATGAGGAGCTGATACTAAGGGCTCAAGTAGAGAAAAAAATGTTTTGAAAATGATGACAACATATGTACAAATATGCTTGACACAATGGATGTATGTATGGATTGTGATAAGAGCTGTACTAGCCCCCAATAAGATGATTTAAAAAAAAATTGTACAATCATTACTACATCAATTTTAGAACATCCCCCCCGGCCACCTGTTTTCTTCTTTTTGCTTTGTTTTTTATTGTTTTTCTTTCCCGGTTTATGAAGCACGAGAGAGGATGTACAGAGACAATAACTGATGAAATGGTTTATCAGGAAGGGTGGGAGGGCAATGGGGAGGGTGAAAGGAATTGAGGAGCAAACAAGGAATGTCGGGGGGAAGCATTAGAACTGATTGTGATCATGTATATACAACTATTTTTAAAAGCAATTTAACTATGGAAGAATATGTGAATATTTTATCAAGAAGGCTAAGAAGAAGAAAAAAGAAGAAACCAAACATGACCTGTGGTTATCATGAATGACGGAGGACAGCAGTTCCTGCTCAGGGCGCTGAGTTTAACGGTGGTAGAACAATGTGGAAAGGGATGACAATAATGGCTGAACAACATGAAGAGTATCATTAATGGCCGAAATTACTGGAGGATTTTTGTGTGTATATTTATGCCACAATTGAAAAAATAATTACACGAATAACATCTAGTACAAGGGAGAAGAAACTGTTCTAAAATCGATTGTGGTAATGATTGTACAACTCTTTTGATAGGGCTAAACTATTTAATTGTATGATATGTGGATGACATGCCAATAAAACTGTTAAAAGAAAAGGTAAAAAAAATTCAAAAAAAAAAAAAAAGGTGATAATTAAGTAGACTGAAACTGTAACTCTTTTGTTACAAATTACAATAGTAAGTTAAGTTTGAAGTAAGCTTTTTATTAAAAACCACATACCAAAAACTGTCTACTTAGTACCTTCTTAGTTTCTAAGTTCAAAGCCAAAAAAATTTTTCCCATGAATGAATTATTACTCAAAACAACACTTTAAATATTAAACTATATTTTTAGATAAACAAGTCAAATCTTTACTGGAAAATACTATGAAACAAAAAGAGAATAGGAAAATAAAAATTAAAAAAGAAAAGAAAAATCACTCATTACTCTCACTCACTGTCTCACTCACTCACTGCCTCACTCACTCTCAGTGACTCACTCTCACTCACTGCCTCACTCACTCACTCTCTCTCACTCTCTCTCACTTCCTCACTCACTCACTCTGTGACTCACTCTCACTGTCTCCCTCACTCATTGCCTCACTCTCTCTCAGTGACTCACTGTCTCACTCTCACTGCCTCACACCCTCACTCATTCACTGCCTCTCTTTCAGTGAGCCTCTCACTCACTCACTGCCTCCCCCTCTCACGGCCTCACTGTCTCCTTCTCTCTCAGTCCACTCACTCTTACTGCCTCACTCTCTCTGTCACTGACTGTCACTGCCTCCCTTTCTCACTGCCTCACTCTCTCACTGCCTCAACTCTCT